TGATGCAGGAGGTTTCACTTCGAGATGCAGTAAGTTTGAGCCTAGTCTGGAATACTTAGTGAAACAGATCGACAAAACTGGTGACACTAACCAGGTGTAGTGGTGCATACTTGTAATCCCAGCACTCAGGAAGGCTGAGGCAGGAGGATTGCCATGAGATGAAGACCAGCTTAGAAGACACAGCACAGCCAGACCCTGACTCAAAAAGCAAAAAGAAAAAAAATCCTGGGGCTGGTATAGCTCAGTGGTGGAGAGCTTGACTATCATGCGTAAGGCCCTAGATTCAATCCCCAATCCTGCCTTAAAAACAAATCTTGTAACAGTTACTTGCAATAAAAAATAAGTAATCATGATAATAGCCAGGTGTGGTGATGTGATGGCACATGCCTGTAGCCCCAGCATTTAAGAGACTGAGGCAGGAGGACCACTGTGAGTTCAAGGTCAGCCTGAACTACATAAGGAGATTATCTAAAAAACAAACCAAAAAATAAAAAGTTAAAATAATTGTAACAATAAACAATGGTTACTATTTATTGATTCAACACATACACTTTGCATACATAAGTAAACTAGAAGTTAACTAATTTTCCTGCTAAAAAAAGGATTTAGGACCTGAGGTCCTGCACCATGGTCCCAAGAATGCTCTTACAAGCTATGTTGTACTGCCTCCTACAGGTAATCAACGGTTACAAGATAACAGAAAAAAACAAAAAATCTGAACTCTTCCCAAAGTACTAAGACACAAATCAGGAACCTGTCACTCATATTAACAAGACATTTGACAGCACAATGACCCCCAAACCCAGGTAGGTAGAAATTATAGAGAAATGAAGATCAAATTGAAAACACCAAAACAAAAAATCAAGGAGACCAATAAAGACAAGAACCAATAAGCAGGGGCTTTGTACAAACAGGATTTACTAAATTTAACAGAAAAATGTCCCAGTAGATTACAGTATAGGGCCATTTCAATAGGGGAAGGAGAAAGGATATTTCAGAGGTCAAGTTTAGAAAAAAAAGTTAACTTGGAATGAATTCTGTGATCTAGATATATGCCTAAAGGATACATCCATACTTAAGTTTACCATAAGGTTAACCAAACTCATTTCCCCCTACCTCTGATTTCAAATTCATTAAGCAGCTAATTATAATTTCTATTCCCATTCAGATCTGCCTGCAGGGTATCACTAGGCTGAGAAGAATAACTGGTCCACTGTTGATTCACCAAGGTAGGGCCTTTAATCCCAGCTACTCAGAAGGCTGAGGCGGGGGGAGGATCACAAGTTAGGCCAGCCTGGGGCAACTTGGGAAACCTCCAACCTAAAAAATAAAATTAAAAGCCCTGGGACTGTAACTCAGTGATAGTGCACCCCTGGGTTCAACTCCCAGTAGAAAGACCTGGGGGGGGGGTAAGAATTCATTCTAACTGCCTTTTAAAACTTTCCTATATAACCCACCTACCACTATTTGGAAAATTAAGCTTTCATTTTCACAAGTTCCTTGCTTTCATCATCCTACTAGAACACATTATATTTTACTCTTTTAAGCTTTAAATTCCCAGAAAGAGTAATATAAATGTTTGGCACACAGAAGAAAATGTTAGTTCTACTTCTCAAAAAGCTAGTAACTACAGAGAGCTGAGATCTGACCCTGACTTACTCCAAACTCATTTCTTTTGCTGTTAGAAATCCTTACAGGTTCTAGTCTGTTATCACCCAGGATTCAGGACAATTTACTTAACCTTTCTGGGGTATCTTTAAATGAGCTTCTTTCTAAGACTCGGGCAACTGAAATTTGTGTTTTAAAAAACACCACGAAAACTGAAGTATTGTGCAGCCCACTGAGGGGAGAAAAAAAAAGTATGCTTTAATGTTAAATCCCTAACTCCTAAGAAACTTTTGTGCCGTGTCTCTAAGGTTACTGGTGAGCCTAATTAACTCTAGCATAAGCGTGCTGAACGGCAGGATCGCTCCTATAAACACAACAGAGACTAATATCTGAATGCTGACTTCCTAAAATCAAGGACTGGCTACCAGCATAAAAGAATGAGACTCCATCCATCACCGCAGGTTGTCTAAAGTCATAAAAAGGAGGGCTAATCAACATCTATTTAGCTTGAAAAGGGCTATCAAAATGGTTAGGCTACTATCTTTAGAAATGTTAAAATAAGAACTAAAAACTATCCCACAGCCTACTGGTTTTGCAACTAAGGACTTCTGACTTTCAAGGGAGTTCGGTAAATAAATTAATTCCCTACCTGCTCAAATCAACTACAGTATTTGGTACAAATAATTCATATTAGATACCTCCAAGGCTGTGTTTAAAGTAGTTCATATAAACTGCGTTTACAAGATAGTTTTTGAAAAGAATATAAAAGATTCACAGAAAAGTAGAAGTAAACAAGCAAAAGCTACAATAATTTACCAAAAGCAAGCCTTAGTGATAAAGTTCATCAAGTTTAAGAGACGAATTTAGTAAAATTATTCACAAGTGAAAGGCGTGTTATTCAAACAGCTTCCTCTATATTTACATACAGCTTTCATATTTCACATTATTTTGACCTAATACAAGAATCTGTTCGGGTGAATGTTTTCCTCATAAAGAAAGCGTCAAAGCTCAAGGAAATTGTTCAATCTCATGAAGAGTAGCCACTGACTTCCTCTCGCACACTAAATGTCTATGAACGTAGGCAGGCTTCTCTAAAAATCACAGTTAATGCAACGTTTGACCCAAAGTCAATCTTTCAGGTTAAAACTCAACGTCACTTTCTTTCTAATCCAACCTGATAAGCATCGACGCCCCAATCATAAAAAATACAACAAATTCAGCGCTGTCATTCTTTCCCCTCCCCCTACACAACTTTTGAAAACTTTGTTCCCAGGCTCTCTGACCCCCACGAAGAAGTTCCCCGCACCTCTCCACCCGGCAGACACCTTCACCCAGGAAGGGGGAGTTTTCAAAGCTGATCAATCTTTCCCCAAAGGATCTCAAAAAGCAGGGGCAGGATATGCTGTACGTACCTGGGCGTTGGCTTCGTGGAGTTTGTGCTCGGCAGAGACGTGGTGCCTCAGGAGCAGGGTTTTCTTGTATGTGCGGGTCCCTCGCGAAAGCTCATCATGCCCCACTTGGGGAAGGTCGGCGTTTCCTCCATCCTCGGAGATCTTTTGGCACCAGCCACAAAACATAAGGCCAGTATCATCGGAATAGCGCAGCCAGGGAAAGTCCTTGAGCCAGGAGGTCTGGAAGGAGCACTGGAGCTTCTGCATTAGGGACTTGGGCCGGGCGAGCGCCAAGTGCTGAACAGTCTCCCCTTCGCCGGCTCCCACACCGCTGCCCTCCACTTCGTCCCCGCCAT